CTGGTGACTCACAAAATACCCTCTCTGCTGGAAGGTGGAAATATGGAGTACTAACTGCATCAAATGGAAATAACCCTGCTTCCTAAACTCAACTCCTACCCTTGACATCAATCACAAGGCCTAATAACTAACCAATACCAATGGATCATTCTACTCCCCTGCTTTGCAGATTTCCAGCACTGGTAAATTTTAGATATAAGGAACAGGTACTGTCTGCATCCTGATGAACGAAATCCATACCCAACTAGCATAACAGCAAGATAACAATCAAAATGAACAAGCTGATGTGATGACCTCACCTGCAGAGCATCCTAAAGACAGCCAAGAACGACTACAGTTTGAAATTCTATAAAACTAAAGCTTACTCCCTGCTCCAGTGCAGAGTCTTTCAAATCAGTGAAGAAGTGGCCCTGTCCGTGGTGCTTGGTCACAACACCATGCCACCAGGGAGACTGCTGTGCTTGTGACAGCTCTGGAGCACCTGGTTACAAAACACCAAGACCAAAAGGGCTAGAAAACAAACTGAAAACAAAATAGACAGCAACTCAACAAAAGACAACAAAAAGTTGAAACAAAGGACTCGCGCTGTTGCCAGCAAAAATGCATTAAGATAACAGGGCTTTCACCCGAGTCTTCAAAATCTTCAGAACTGAGTCCTGTTGAAAAGGTTATGCAGGCTTTTATTCCAGGTAGAAAGCATACAGCAACTGAGTTACAGCAGGCCTCTTCCAAAGCAGTGTTTAATACTCTGTATCATTCTTTGACACAAAGGCTGCTACATAGGAAAAAGACACTTTGCTACTGGAGGTCCTATGTAAGGGCTATCCATCGCTGCCCAGGGACAGATCATTGCATACCTGTGAAGGCTGTTAACCAAGGAAGTTACTCTGTTCCAGCAGTATTGTTTCAGACTGAATGGCTTCCCAAAGAAGCAAAGAGCAAACACCTTGCTTACCTGGGTTACACAAAGCCATGATGCTATCTGTTTGCAGATTTGCCCTACTGCATAAAGAGAGCACATTCACAGCCAGCAGCTTCCTGTCCCCGGCTCCAGTAGGGTATTTATGATCATTCCCTTTTAGGCCTGAACATTAATACACCTTCTCTGCCATGTGGATTACTACTACCCTTAAGAAATCTGAAAAGCAAAGTACACACAGCAATGCCATGCGCTAGCAACGGTTTGGCCCTCTCACAGAGCTTGCTAGTTTTTCTCTGAACTACACAAATAACTAAATGAAAAACATGTCCTACTCCAAACCAAGAATCATGGGAAAGTCCAAAAAGCGTGCTGGAAGAACTAATTCCTGCGGGAATAGGAAGCAAATTATACCTGTCCAGTTGCATCTTACGTAGCTACAGCCACGACATGCAGGCCACATTCTGTTGTTGAGTCCTCTACAGGGCACAGCAGAATAGAAGACTTTGTCTCTTTAAGAAGGGGTTCTGCCTATTAAAGCAACTTTAATTTTGGCATTAAACGCCAGTGGCTTCTCAGATGTGAACTAATGTGAGAAGCGAGTAACTAGTTTCAGAAAGCCTGACACACACCTTCCCAGTGTCTTTTATGTCCAAAGATGTAGAACTGGTTAATACAAGAGTTTACAGGTGTCTTGCTTTGCTATGTAGAGTCCCTACATTATAGGCTGACAGCAGAAGCCGTTGAAACTACTAGGTGAACATAACCTGAAATCCTACCTGCACTTAGCATCATAACACTTAGTCTTTTTATGGCAAGATGAACTGCTGACGACCTAAACGTCTTGGAGAGGTACAAAGGCAACAAGCAGGTGAGCATTATTTGAAGACACCAGAAATCTCTTGCAGCCAACATTTCACTCGCATCCTTTGTGGTGGGTTATTTTCATATCGTGAGAAAGCATAATAACTTAAATCACATACTGAAGAGTCTGGATTCTGTTCCAAAAATGCCTGTATAGACTATCTTGTCCATCTAGACTGTTTGCACCATTATGTAGGAGAACTCTGAGACTGGAAATGAGAAAATACTTGCTCTCCAAGCTTGACAGCTGTGATAAAAAGGCACTTAAGTCAGAGGAGAAGGCTTACTGCACACATCTTAACTGTAGTTCCTGCAGCTGAGCAAGGGAATAATACTGCCAGATTATGATGGCTGGGCTGGGGGGGGGGGGGGGGAACAAAACCAACTTTTATTCAGAAAATAATTTCATCTTAGGTTCCAAAAACGACATACCTACATACTAGACCACAAACTAAAGCTAATAATCTTGTATTAGTGATAAAACCTAGCCTAACATTGCATTGTTTTGAAAATTAGACCATTAGGAAGAAAACACATGGAAGCATCACAGGACTTTCATTGGACTCTATGAGCTGGGCAAGCATCCATGGAAAAATATAAAATGATTTAGCTGGATTTTCCACCCAGTTAATCAGTCCTGAAGCCAATGGAATCATTGTATAATTAAGCAGATTTCTCTAAAGAGCTCATAACAGTTCACACTGCTTTAATAACCTGCCTATATGTCAGAGAAGCTGAAGAGAAAGTTTCAGGACTGAAGGAAAATTTAAGAAATGCATTCTGAGTATCAAGCAGTTTAGGAAATATGAAAATTGATAGCAATATTTAACACTGCAGTGGCAACAAAGTCACTACTATTTTACAGCATCAAAGTATTGTATCTCATTAGTAAGCAGCTTGACCATATTGTCATCTCAGTTTTGAAGTAAAAAAGCAAATGACCATGTGGTATGCATAAGAATTACTGCTTTCATGCAACATATTACATTCATATTAATACACTATAAAAGATACTAGTAACTTGTTTCATTTAGGAGTGCCTTTTTTAACTAAACTACACATTATGTATAGAATCCTGTGTTTAGCAAGATAAAAGCTAAAGAAATATTGCCTGAGAAACTCCAGAAGACTAATATGCTTATTACACATTTTATTGTTTCTCTAGATCTTTAATAACACATATACCCTCAAAAGTGGAAGGTTACCATTGTATAAAGAAACTTAAGTTATTGCAGTTGTATGTATAATGCTGTACTAAACATTTTTATAAAAGCATAATCAGTTATTGGAAGAGTAGACGCCAAGCGCAAAATCAAACTGATAATTAAGGACAACAATGACATCTAGTGGACAGACGGAAAACAGACCCGTAGCCTAACACAAGGAAAGATCCAGCTGCTGTTATTGTTACACGATGTGCAACTCCCAAATTGCTACGATGCAATTCAGAAGATTAAAAGACAGAATTTGCAGCTGATGAAAGTCAAAGTAATGTGATGACTCGTTTCTTTCAAAAGAATATTTAATTTAAAAAAAAAAGTCAAGACCCTTCCATTTAAGATTTAGGATAAAAGTACAGGTCAAAACTTGAGAGAATATCACAAATCCTTGAAAGGATATAGACAGATACATAGCGCCAACATAATAGAGGCATACATGTTTACTACACTTTCTATTCCCACTGCATCTACAACCTTCGACTTGTAAGTTGCTCCTGTTGGGGCTTCAAACGCTGAAAAACAAAGTGAAAACAACAAAAATCCCAAAAGTAAAAATTCAAACCACTATTTAGCACCTCCCTTTTCTCGTCATTCTGATCCTTCTGCTATTCTAATACCTGCCATATAAGGGAGGTAAGTTAAACTTTCCCCATCTATCAGACAGTAGCTGCAGAGCTCCAGAGAAGAGGGATCTGAAACATCAGGCTAGCATAACTCAAAATTTGCAAAGATACCTGCTCATGAATAACCTGATTAGTTTACAAGGTAGAGTTCTACAAAGATCATTGATTATTTTAAATCTGCTTTTACTATTTATCAAAAGGCTAGCAAAACTAAGCAGTTAAAGCAACTCAAATCTGATTTCAGTTGTTCCGTCAAAGAAACTTTTTCTGGCTAGAAATGTCACCATGAAGAAATACTGGTTTTGACTATTACCCTTCTGTAAATAAAAACATTAACAAAACACTACAAATCTATGTCCCATTCGAAGTCTTAAGCATCAAATGTCATATCTACATAAATGGAAATTGGATTTTGCATCTTATTGTTAAAAACAAAAAGACTGCATCCCTTCCAAAATTTCTACACCTCAGTGACTGTCCGGAATAAAAAAAAAAAAAAAGCATTGCAAAAGATTAGAAACTATACTCAAAAGTAAAACATCATTCATGAACACATCTGATTGTAATTTACATTAGACTTCCAATTTAAATTGGTATCTTGCTTACTTTGCGCATGATTTTGGAAAAGTTCGTGTTGCAATTCCCCTAGCTCTCACCATTAGTAGTGGCTAGAGTCAGCTATTAGCAAATATGTAACAGATTCTCACTTATATGAAGATTCTCTAACTAGTAGAATACAAAGAAACCTTCGTCTAACTGATGATCAGGCCTTGTGTCCCAATTTCTTTTTGCCAGGTTCTCAAAGTGAGCTTTGAATCCAGTGCTACTAGTTAATAAGAGCACATGCAGCCTCCCAAAAATGAAATCCAGACTACAAAGATATTTATGCACCATATACAGCCATAACTAAAACCTGTAGTTTTAAATTCTGATTCCTAGTGAGACTCAATAGCTGAATGACCCATTCGTGAAAGCGAAAAAAAGACATGAATTCAAGTTAAGTCTAAAAATGCAAGTATTTAAAAGCTAAATCTCCCTTTTGATGTATGCAATGCATAAGTTTTGCAGATATTTTAAGTGAGATCAAAGTTTAACCAATTCTAGACAGCCCTGTTCTAGAAAACCCCACTCTTCATTCCATTACAGGATCTATATATCATCTGTTATAACCATGTTAGTAATGGACCCTGATAAAAACAGAAACCAGCCTAATAAATTTACAAGACAAAAATTAAAAGCAAACATCAAAAACCCAGCCATTTCCCCCCTCCAAGCACAATGCCATATTTTACCTCCAAAACCAATTTTACTACATCAGATGTTCTAATGAGAAAGGACCATTTTAAGACAGAAAGCAAAGCATCATTGACCTACCCGGATTTCCTGGAGATTATGAAAGTTATTTCCTACTCTGACAGAGATTTTGCTCGGAGTGTAACTTTCATCAGATTTGTAGTCTGCATAAATACATAATGTCTTCACTGTTGTTTTTCTTCTGCAAGAAGCAACAAAAGCTATGTAAACATCGTAAAGAAAAATATTCAGGATGAGTTTGTTGCTAGTTTGTAATAACTAAGGATTTAAATGTTCTAAAACTTAATGTAAGTAAGTGTGTCTACTGATTTATAAGGAGCCTGCTGTTAAAGCAACTAGGTATTTTTCCACATTAAGTTATGCACACAGAGTTGATTTTCACTGTTCTCCTTCGTCTGTCTTCAGAAGCGTCAGTATACCAAGAAATACAACAGAAGGCCAAGATGCCAATTAAACACTTGCATGTGATGAAGCATATGTTTAGCTTATCAAATATGGGCTCTATTACTCTACCAAAGAGTTCTCCAGAAAGCAAATAAAAAAAAAAAGGTGACAAACATCTAACCTCATCTTAAGAGTTTGGTTAAAGAAAAAGCACTAAAAGCATCCCATGTAGAACAGAACAGGAAAAGGTTTCTCAAACAATCAGTTGTTAAGTCATACAGAACTACTTTAAGAACAGTCATCTACTCTTCGAGTTACACTCAAAGACAGAAAGCCAGGACAAAAATGTCACCTTGGGTAGGTAAATGTGAAACTGTTACAAATGACATACTATTAAACATTCCTTCTTGTTGCTTATTTAGGCATTTAGTAACCATAACATTTGAAAATCTCATTTTCATAAATGCTATCTCACTGGCTTCTTACCAGTTGGGTAACAGGATTAACCCAGGAGTTCTTGCACTTCCAAAATTCCTATCTTGGTGAACAGTAATCAACACAAAGTTATACAAAACACCCTAACCCATACAGAGTAATTTTTAATACCTAAATTGGATGTTCACCAAATGAGGCTGTGATCCATCTGACTGCCAGTAAGTTTCTAGATTATCATCTCGTAACTGATCCACTCCAAATCCTAAGAAAAAGAAAATGTGATAGTCTTGAATATCCTATTTCTGTGATGCAGACATCACAGACATAACTTTCCTTCAGCTGTTACAAACTAAAGTATGTATCCTAAGTTATAACATAAGGAAATATTTCTAGATATCCAAGTTGTGCCTATGCTTTTGTGACACAAAACTGAAACAGGGGAATCTGTCAATCAAAGCTCAGTACTCGAGTGTCATTACATTCTTATCTCCTATGGAAGTCTGTGGGGTTTGAAACCATTCAACATGTCCTGGAATTTCAAATGGCTAAGTAGTAATTCATACTAATTGCAAGAACAATACTTAATTGTTAGGCTTCTCCACCTATTCTATAATGTTAACTGCTGAACTAAAGGAAAATCATTAGCAAAGACCATTCATTTATCATAAAATTTTAGCCAAATACAACATTTTCTTTTCAAGTAGTCTCCTGAAATATTTTTACTTTTTCAAGTTAGTATCTTGAACAAGCAATATATGCCAAAAACAGTATTCCTGAAAGTTAATGTTGTCACATTTAAAGAAACAATTCCAAAACTTTATTTTTCTGTTCCCTCATTATCTGTCATTTTACTAACCACATCCTTTTATTGATTGCCCACACTAGCTGCAGTTTTAATTCAGCAGTTGAACTTTAATCTGCAATAAAAAATTATCTTCACTCTGTTTGAAGCGACTAAACCATATGATATTTTTCTCCAAGTAAGATACCAGGACATCAGACCAAAGACATTCAGCCTGAGCACAATATCGTGACATAAACAGATCATTGACTCCAGGCTGCAGCAAGATACCAGATCAATTCCCAACAGATATTTCTGAAATAGCAACTCAACCACCTCAAATGAAAAGAATACAGATTTTCAGATATGTTGAACAGATATAAGCTATCATTAACTGCACCTCAGGACCATTTACAATAGCTTCATTTTACTTGCAGGATTTTAGGGAGCTACTTTTGGCCGAGTCCAAAGTTTGGACAAAACATTTAGGTCGCCCAGCTGCATGGTTTTTCCAAGTTAAAAATTGAAGATACCCAGGCAAAATGACAAAGCATAGAAACAATTACACAGTGCTGAGTATGTTTCTGCTCACATGGTTTAGTTTGTTCACTGTGCAAGTAAAAAATCCAACTTAGTATAAAATCAGTAAAAGATCTGTTTTGTTGATATGAGATGTTTCCTCATTGTAGGATTTCTGATATAGTTATAACTTTCATATTGCATCAAATATAGACTAGGCCAAAATTATTCGTAGTGGCTACCCATACAGCTTACACTACAGCAGTTTTACTGCCACACTCAGTATGTATGTCTTCTTATCAAAACATAAAACCTAGCATATTCTAAGAAGAAAAATGTACATTCACCTTTTTACATCATTTGTTGTGATATTACCTGGCTTACAGGATGAGAGAGACCAAACTGCTTGTGAGCCTATTTCTCTAACAGTACCAGTCCTCTCTAACTGCTTTGGATCAGCACCAGGTGGTGTCTTGTTTGGGGTAGTCATTTCTAGTAAAAAAGAACAAATGAGTTAGTTGATACATTTTTAGCTTGATGGGAAAAATTAAAGGTTTGTGTTTGTTCATATAGACACCTTAATTCTTTGGTCTCACACATATAATAGTCTACAGAATATGTGGTGCATACATATATGAATACATTTTTGCATGTCTGTACAATCTTTTATTTTTTATATATATAATAATACATATAAATAAGTAAAAAATAAAATATATCTTTAAATAAGAGGCTCCACATACATGTAAATTTTGTGTCCTTAAAAATTCAATACACACATGGAACATTCATAAGACATATTTTACTTGTATCATTCTAATTCACACGTACAGACTTAGTCGGGGTTTCAGAATTTGGTTTTTTTACAGTTTCGTTTGTTTGTTTTAAGAAACTAAGAGACACTGTTGATTTAAAGGCTAGCAATATAACTTCATTTCTCCCCCGCATACACTTAAGAGTGTTCTTAATCTGCAAGTTCAGAAGCCTATTCAGAAGCTAGAACAAGCCTGTCCTCCTGGAGATACTTCTTAAAAACAGGAAATTAGAGTTTAAACAAATCATATAGTCCCTAATTTGGTAGGGTTGGTTATTGCCACATTTATCCATGGTCCATTTCCTTAACTTCACAACTTCATCTGGAGTCATTAACCTGTGACTTGCACTGCTCAAGTAACCACACTCAGCCTCAAGACCTAGACTACTGCCATATATACTACAACATAATCATGTTGGTTTTCATTTACTATAGAGCACCTTATTACTTCCTAGAAAGTAGCTTAAAAGACTTTAAAAAAAAAAAATTCCAAAGAAACATAAGTTACATGCAAGGAACTACATTAAAGCTTAAAAATTAAATGTAAAGCACTCAAGAGTCAGGGAATTAGAGAGACTTCTAATCCTTTGCTTACATCCATGACATCATAGTATGCTCTGCTAAATCTCAGAAAAAGTCCTCCAGCACCTCTCCGCAATAGCAAATGACGTGCTGAACTACGCTGATAGGCATAGGATCCAGACCTTACCCTACAGAAGTGATACAAGGCAGAGACAAGATTTTCTATGCAAGAACAGCTCTGCAGCTACAAACTCTGTTGGACACAGGAAACCTGAATTCTGTAGAGTAAATTGCTGTCCACTCCAAACATTTTCTATTGGTCCTTGCCTAAATTTTAGTGGTTTTTTTCATTTTGCAAACACAGGCTTGAGACAGACTTCCAGCTTTTTTTTGGTTCTTTCTCATATACAAGACTGCAGTCCTGACTACCATAAAATAGAAATAATTACATGTGTAATAAAATCTAAGTACTGACAACAGCAAGTGTCACAAAAGGCCACAAACAGAAAGCCTTGCTCAAACACCATCCTCTCAGAAAAGGGGGCTGAACACTCACAGATAATCCTACAGATATCACGTATATATTCATATAATTCACAGATATACTAATTCTAATGCCATCCAATTAAAAAAAATCCTCATGCTTTAAAGATGCTTTAAAGTTCTTGCCCATGCAGAAAAATTTTGTTCAAAAAAATATCAAACTATTAAAAAAAATATGAAACAGGCAATCCATTTAGCCATTCCTATAACTAGACACTAGCACATAAATCTTCCCCAGTCATGGTATTTAAATGTTGCATTATCTGTTTTAAAACTTTTATCAGGTGTTTACAATAGGCTCTGTAAAACATAGCTGTTCTTTATTGAATTAGCTAAACCATAAACTTGTTAATATTTAGAACAGATTATAGACTAGAAGAGAAAATAAGTAACTTACTCTAGTTGCTACTTAATATAACTTTAAATTTATTGATAGCAACTTCAATAAAACACAATGTTACGAGTATGCTAATCTCCTAAGAATTTTAAATGGTCTTGGGAAAAATTACAAAACACTGAGTTCACAGCTACCGGAAAAACAAACATTTTTCACAGAATCACAGAATGGTTTGGGTTGGAAGGGACCTTTAAAGATCATCTAGTCCAACCCCCATCCAACACCAAAATTCAAATTATGTTTATTAAGCATTGGGGAAACTATTTTCCTGTACTCATGAATTTTAAAGTTCAAATCACCTACTAGTCCAAACTCTGCACTATTTTGTTGCTTTTCTGACAGTGAATCAACTAAGAGAGGTTGAGTTGCATTCATTTTAATTCTCAGATTTATATAGAAACCAGTAATGCTGTTTTCCCCACCTCTAAAAATATACATAGAAAATTCAACTTCACAGAGTAAAGCTAAATTATTCTTTCAATATGAAACATCTCTTGAATATCATCACCAGCAAGCCTTCACACTCCTTTATTATTTTGACTTCAAGAGAAAAAAAAAACAAAAATTCCAAATCTGATAGTCACATCTTCATTCCTAGAAAGACCTATTGTCAGATTAATGAAAAATCCAACCTTAAGACATAAGGAGTATGCAAACATCCCATCAAAACCCACCAAAACAAGGTAAATCATAGAAATCACATTGTACACTCAAATTATCTCAGAAAGTTGATTACACATGCTTTTTAGAAAAATTACTAGAATTTTACGGTATGCAGAATCCCTTAAGACAACGATGTTAAGATTTCTTGTAAGCTTCAGCACACACAGGGCCTAAATACCTTAACGCTGCCAAGATTTGCATTGCACTGGTTCACAGAAGTTTGAGGCATACATTCTGGGGGTCTGAAATGTACAGCAAGAAATGCCATCCAGGTTTCCTACTGTCTTAAACAGAGCTTGTTTCCTTCTATCTACTCTTCTATTCTACTCAAGATCCAGATTTCAACTCCAAACCACTGTTGGCAAATAAGTAAGCCACAAATTGTGCATTAGTGATGTGAAAGACTGAAAATCTTTAATGTTTGAGCTGAAGAGTTGAATTAATCAAGTCAGTTTTTCATGACAGAACTTCTGTTTAACCAGCCTAGTAACAATACATTCTGGATAGCTTCACTGAAGCTTCCCAATACTCCTAAGAATTTTAGAAGCAGAAAGCTGACAGAAGTACCGTGGATAAATAATACAGCAACAGGGCAGCTCACTCAAGTAACACTTTTGGACATTTTACTAGCAGAAGTACAAGTACCTCACTTTGGACAAGACACAAATACTTAACATTAAAAAGTAATTCAAGTCACCAAATAAAATAAATAAAGAACCCCAACATTTTCTTAGCCCAAGAAGATAATGGAATGAGATCTGTTTTTTCCTATTTTTTCAGGCTGTGTAAAGACACGTAATCCGTCTAGAAGCCCTTCTCCTTGACACGTGCTGAAAAATGGAAAGACACACTGCGTCTACAGAAGCATTGGCTGGAAACATGTCTAATTTTCCAGTTCAGTTATTCCAACAGATCATTAATAGGCTGCTGTTTCCTTATTAACAACATTAATATATTAATGCCTTAAAAACATGACCAACGTCACACTTCCACGTTGCCACTTTCCACTACATGGTATGCACATCCTTTGATCAAGATAAGAGGGCTAAGCTTTTTGTCCCCTCCTTGAACTCTTTATCCTTCAGCATCTTGCTTAGAGAAGTTTGCTCTTTTCCAGACAACATCCCTGTGAAGTAGCAGCCATTAAAGATGATTTAACAAACATACAGTTTATAACCACAGTGAAATGGATTTAAAAGGTTTCACAATCAAAACAGATCATTCTCAGTATACCAGTGGAAGACACTTAAAAGGTGCATACCTGAAAGCAAACCCTTTACTAAGCACACACATACTCTTCTGCAACACACTGAAGAGGAGATACAGAAGGATACATCGTGGTCCTTTCCTCCTAAGGCTCCATGAAAATCCAGGCTCAAGGAAACTTTTGCGGATTCCAAAGCAGTTTTCTCCAATTAAAATTTCTAATTCCACTATGCCAGCATGCACAAAACTGTTTAAACACACACCTGTAAGGACCTTTTAGAGACCAGACTATCCTCAACATATGTCTGTCCAGTCATTTACTTCACCAAAAGAGATTTCACAATCTTTGTGGACAGCCAGCTTCAGTGTTTCATCAACCTAAAAGCCAAATGTTTTGCTTTAACATCCAACCCAAGTATTACCTTCCAAAAACAAGCATGATTTCTTCTATTGCCCTACAGAGAACCCGAAGACTAGTTAATCACTAGCCTTTAAGCAGCGACCCTTTTATAGATGTGAGGGGACTCATCAAATTTGCTCTTAGTTTCTTCTTTTCTAGTGTGCCTATGCCTTTCAAGTTCCCCTCACAAACCAAGTTTTATAAACCTAATATTCTTGCCGAGTCTAGAGATCTACATACTATGGTTAAAAAACAGCCATGCCATTTTAGCTAAGGCCTTACTCAACAGAGCAATCACTTCCCTTGTCTTTGTATTTAATCACACCTGTTAACATGGGAAAATAACATTTGTCTAGTTGAAAGGACATCATATTACTGATTAATATTTAATTTATTATGCGCTGCAGTGCTCAAATGCTTTTTGGGGATACTGTTTGCTGTTCAGTAATAGCCTTTCCACTAATTACGCCTTTGATTTTTCCTCCCTGTGTTCTCTTCCTTCCTCAGTTCTTGTTAACCGAGCTTAATTACACTGATTTCCAATCTGCTATCAATCTTGTCAAGATCATTTTGAATTCTGAACCTGAAACTGTACAGTGCTTGCAATCCTTCCAACTTGGCAACATATCTATAAAAATAGATATGTTCACCATTACAGAAAACAATTAAAATCCATTCAAAACAGAACTCCCAGGATAATTCATGACATCCCTGTTTAAAAGTGAATTATTTACAAGTCAGCTTCAAAAGCAATTTTCAACCAACTGTACAAGATCTCACAAAAATTATTTTTAGACCACATTTCAGTAGCTTGTATTTAAAGTTAACCCAGACAATGGCAGAAACCCTGTAAAACTCAAGACAAACCACTTCTATTCCTTCCTCATTAACTGAATTGACTACTATTAAAAATAAGTTTGATCCAGCCTGTCCTTAACAAACAAA